TGCTAGATCTAGTCACAAAATCTATATCAAATCTATCTCGTATATTCCAGCAGAAATATAGGAATTTTTATGGCTATCAGGCTTTCGGCTTTTCTTAGACACTAGCAAATGTACTGTGTATTCCAGCAGAATGTCCAGAAACTTTCTTACCAACATGATGATTCTCTAATAATTCTGAAAAATTCCCTCGCTTTCATTTTGTCCTAGAAAAGTCACCGAAAGCTCGAAACCCGTAAAAATCAGCATATTCCCTTTTTTGTCAAGCTCTCCATGGCGTATGTAGAACTCTAGAGTGGTGAATCCTATTCAAAATGGCTTGGTGTATGAGTGTCCGAACTAGATTTGCATTCGGTTACACGCGCTTAATCTCACTTCAGCCATCGGAATCTACATGTGCAATTGTCATCGCGTTTTGTCTGTTTGCTATCCACCCTCATATGTTTGAACTCTCCTCTTCGTCTGTCTTTTCTCTCTCTTTTTCTCGAAATTTCCAAGATTCTATTGACGTGGCAGTACAGTAAGGTCAATAGACCCGATGTATTGATGTTGATGTTTGGCGGGGCAGGACGCAAGCTCTTCAGGTGTTTTTTATTCGACTCTGCCGAGAATCTAACAGGCCTCTTGTAAACGAATTTTTACAGAGCGCGCTGTGTTTAAGTAGTCGTTTTATTTGTGGTGCTAAGTCTGACGGTAAACTTGTGTTTATTGTCATGTAAGCTGTGAGACAGGTGACTGTAGGTATCGTTTTCTTCCCACGATCTCACGAGAAACCTATTGCTGTTTGTCGACATACATTACTTTACTGTCATTCTTACTACATAATATATACTACTATATATTAGGATGCATAATTCTTGCACCAAAAATTTTGAAATCCTGTCTCATCCAGAAAATGAAATCTTCTAATTTGAAGCATAAGAGAGAGGGAGCAAACCTTGCGTTTTCTAAAGGGGCTTGATTCAAAATTCCACAAGGGCATATTGGCAACGATATAAATGATTAAGAGAAACCAAAAAAGTGTTTTTCGATTTTTCACTGAAATTGCTAAAACGTCTACGGAAATTCGAAGTTATTTTTGATCTTAGTGCTACGACATACTCTTTTCAACAAAGAGAAGCTGGTAGTGATTGGATATCTCTGCGAATAGTTACGAATTTCGATTGAAATTGACTTATTGATTTTGTTTGTTAATTTTCCAAAATATACTATAAAATACTACTTTTGACATATATAACAATAAGCATACTCTTAAGATTGATTAATCTCTTCGAGCATTTTTGAAACAATTTTTTCTACTTTTTGGTGCAGGAATTGTGCATCAATCTTATATATACTTACTTTGACACATTTTTTCCATCTCAGGCTAATAAATCACTTTGAGTAAGAATGATTGCACTGGTCAGTTTTTATATCAAACAAAATGTGTTTTCGTATAGAAACCAAGTTTTTCGTTAACTTAAGATAGTGGGAACCGAGGAGGAGAAGCATACAAATCAAACTGACACTCATTCAAATCTTCCGAATGCCTTGTCAAAGCCTCACGTTGAAAAAAAAATTGAAACCTAAAAGTTTTGCTATAATTGCTTGAATTTTTTTCAAAGCAGACTAATCCTTTAATACACTAGCGGGATTTGCCCAAGATAAGTCTATTGAGCAATGGCATATATGCAGAAAATATGGAAGATTTAACTTGACGTTCTGTTTCAGTTTTACAATAATTTATTCGATTTGCTAAATCCTCATACACAAATATTGAAACTTTAGTCAATTTTAAATTCAATCATCTAGATCAATAGTGTGGGTCATGACCCATTTCTAGCCCTTATTTTTTAAGGAAAGTGGAGTTGATGCACTTTGGGCGTGCGTGGTCTTTACAGGTCGTTTGACCTTGCGTTTTAACAAACCTCAATAAAATGAAATAGATACCTGTTCATCATGTTTCAAAAAAAACGAAAAAAACTGTTTTTCGAGCACTAGCTCAGAAATTTTTGAATAAGAATTTGAAATCTTTTTTACACAAACACATAACAAGAGGGGGATACTTGGTGACCCTGGCTATTCATAATGATTTGTGTATCAGAAAATGCGCCTTTCAATGCTTTTGCAAATAGTGTCTTCCATATCTGCGAAACAATAATCTGGATGAAGTTATGGTTATTTCATAAACAAGTTGCGCTACTGCGGAGGGCCAAAATCATGAATATAAATTTGTTTTCCTTTTTAAATGCTGAATATGATCTAGATAGGTATAAATGTAATAGTACTATTTAAGATTTTCTTCACTAGCTGCGGTAACTTAGAACAAATTGGTGATTTTAACTACCCAAAAGTACGCAAATTTTACGAAAAAAAGTTCATAACTTTTTCAAAAAATCATTTCGCAGATACCGAGCACAGATTTAGAATCAGCGTTACGAGTTGCAACTTACGATACACATCGCAATCCAAATGACCACGGTCACCGAGTATCCTTTCCTTGTAAGAGCTAAAGCTTAGTTCCTATCAATATGCTAACCCTTTCCTTTTGGGATGTCACCATTGCAGTATTGGGGAAAAGAAAGAAAAAGCAAGAATCATGCCGCTTATGTTTTGTTCAAGTAGGCGCTTAACAGCAATAACTTTTATTTAGCAGAACTTCTACGTCTGACTCACGCGTTCTGCATTCTCTCTATTGTTTTTCCATAGAGGAGGCAAACTTTCCTTTCTTTTGTGAATTCTCCGTCTTTTATCGTCTAATATTGTCATTGTGATAGTTATTCGAGCTAATTTAACCCATGACATAAAGGTGGGAAGTCATTTTGTTTTCCACTTCCTTCCGCCTCTCCACAAACTTCTTATTTAAGGCACTTACAGCAGTAACTTTAACCTTTTCTCCTCTCCCCATTCAATAAAAAGCAAGAACTAACCTCAAAAGGGGGAGCGGGATGTGAAATCGCTTAAGAGACTCTTAAATGTTCCTAAGCGATTGTTCCAACAGTGACGGGCGCACCGGATGTCAAAATTGCAAATTGAGGTGGGGTCTAAATCGATTTCGAAGTCCAGCAACTCTTCCTTTGTTACAAGTAGGCGAGCATATAATGGCCATTTTAACCTCTTAAAAAGTCGATAAAAATGACTCATAGATGGAATTACTCGAAATTGAGCAGGTTTCTTTTTTACAAGCCCATTTCCAAGGTGGTTTTTCAGCTCAGAATTGCATAATTTTTGAGTTTCAGTTTTTAAAATAGTGAAATGTCTTTAGAAATTTTATGGTGAGATGTCTTTAAAGATTATAATGTCGAACTCAGCTCGTCATTTGATTTTAAAATCTACTTTCTAATCCTACTATGAACTGATAGGAGCTCCCAGAACAATCCTTCACATCCCAATTAATTAAAAATTTTGCTTAGTATGACAAACTGTGAAAAAAATTTTTTTTGAAAGGCCAATTAGCATTTCTAGTCAATTTATCCTCTCCTAACGTTTTTGATGGTATCGCGAATGTGCTAGTTCTCTTCTTTTGATTCCGCAACCCTCTAGACGATTAGTTTCGAAGATAATTGGCAAGATGTGCCAAGTTGATGGCCGATAGAAAGTTTTCTTGATTTCTCTATTTCTATTTCTGCTTTTTTACAAGATTAAACCATATAAGATGTCCTCAATACGATTTTTGTATTATTTTCTACCCTAACCTAAGTTTTCGTCTCGCCGTCCGCAGTCTAATTTACGCACTCATTGGCAAAATCCATTTTTCCTGAGACTCGTTTGAAATTACTGTTGGGCATACAATTATTTGATAGAAAATCAAAGTACCTGGGTATTTTTGTTTTCGGCAGTCATCTATTTCCTTATGCGTCAAACATTATATCATAATGGTCTTATCTATGTATGAAAACAAGCGCGTGATCTTTCTGAACCATACGTTCATTGTTTCAGGTTTACTCTTTATGAATTCAAAGTTTCTTAACCATTTCAGCCATAAAAATATGCCTATGTACATAATTCTGCCATAATCCCTTATCTTTCTTCTAATCTTTTTTTGTTGGAATTTCTTGTTTTACGGCACAAAATCTTCCAAATCTTGCATCGAATTCTTCCTGGCTTCAGGCTTGAAGCAACATGTTAGCCATTAAACTACGTTTCCTCCTTCTTTCGATTTTTTTGTCACTTTTTTCATGTAGGATATATGTACTTCATGTTAGTTTAATAATCAGAAAAAAAGCTTGGTTCGTGACCAAGGCTTGGCACAGGTGGCTTATAAGCAAGCTTGATATCTTTGGGACAAAAAGCTAGGGGGCTGTCGTTTTTGTGGGTCCGAAATTGAGTTTTTTAGTCCATGTTTCGTCTTTAGTCGATCCCTGTATTTCGGATAAGGGTCAAAGGGAACTTAGTAAGATTTTGAGTCAGAGGGATTTTGTTTTTCGTATGTTCGGAAAGCCAACTAGTGTTGAGCTCTGTTTGTGGCACCTTTAATCATTTTTGAATATTCTCTGTGTATTTGAATTTGTCAAGTCGTGTGAGTAATAGTTCATTGAAATTCAAAATCGGCTTTGTGTGTTTTGCTTTTTTTAAATAATGCAATACTTTACAAGTTTAATAATTTTTACAATGATTCACTTATACCAGTTCACAGTGCACGTCATGTTACATTTTGATCCGACTTTCATCTCATTTGCGTTTTTTTCGTTTGAATCAATTTGAACGAGTTCGATTTAAATACAGTTCTGAACAGTTATTGATTCAAATTTATTTGTATTCCCTAAATTCAACAGAGATTTATAGCAAAAATAATTGAGACTCGAAGCAGAAAGACTTCCTTCTCCTTTTCTGGAGTGGGCGTTTCGCATTCCCTACCTCATGTGCACTCTCGAGCCCATCTAACTGCACTATTCACTTCTGCTGTTGACCTCATCGATTTCTTAAATTTATGTCAACAGTCTACCGGAATTTTCTCTGGACTTTCGTTCTACCGTGTAGTATCGCTGTTCTTCACCATTACCCTTACATTAGGCGACTTCCAGACAAATTATTCCAGATGATCACTAGAGAAGTGCTACTTGCGACGGGGCTTTTGATCGATGTAAGTTCTTTTCATAGATCGATTACTCTTTGTAAAAAGTATTTTTTTGCTTACCCCTTTGCAGCCGTACCCCTTGTACTTTGGAATTTATTTGAACGTGTAGAAAGTCTCTCAAAATCATCTTCAATTTTCTGATGATGCCTACTTACCTTATCAGAAATCATCTTAATTACCGTAATGGGTAAAATTTCTTTTATATCTGACGTCTAAATCTTTCTGACCCAGTATTTGTAATAAACATAGTCTTATATCGCCAAGAACTTTTTTTCAAATGTTGGCAGAGGTCCTCTTGTATTTTAGTATAGGATTCAAGGCCTGATGAAGATTTTATAATCGAATTGCCGTTGGCAATAAACTACTGATCAAGAGCTCTCCTCGATACTTGCACCAGAGGTCCTCTTGTTTAAAAAAATTAAAGTTTCCACAATTATCGTAAGCCTATCGTACTAATGAGCCTATATTTGGCTTGGTACTTTTCGACTTATATAGCCTCATAAAAATTCGAGCCAAATTTGATCTTGATTTGGTAAATAAACAAAGGTTGAAAAGTTCCTGGTCTATATTTTCCTGCAAAAAAATGTTCCTTGCACTTAACCTCCTCGAATAATTTTCTGCAATTTTTCCATTTATATAAAACCCTTCAAAATTTCCAGTCACAACCTAGCACCACCCACAGCCATTATTCCGCGTTTGAGTAGAAGGAAGAAAAAGTCGCAGAAATTTCCTGGCACCTCGCTCACAAAAAAGCAATTCTGCTTCATAAACTTTGTTCAGCAAAAAAAAAATTATTATAGAGCCAGTTTGTAAGAGGAAAAGCTTGTTTTTTTGTTTTTTAGAAAGATCAATGAGAAATGTGCGCGGAACAGAGGACCATGAAAATCTCAAAATCTAAGTTTTATAACTGTATTTTTGACAAATTATTAAACAATTAGCACAACTACGACAAGGCCAATTCTTCGATTACTGCCATTTCGGACCAGAGCATATTACGCAATGTTGAGTTTGCGTAATATTTTTGGTTACAGATGGGCCGTGACTCAATTTGCCAAAAAATTTCCATCGTAAACAATCAAAATCAACAACTTCAGAAAGCATACGACCCACCGGTGGGGCGCATTGTCCGAGATAACAGGGCACGTACGACCTACTGGTGGGTCGTATTGTCGTAATTATGTTAACTTTTTTCAGATCGTATATGCGCAATTTGACGCTTCTACATGTGGATCACAGAAGGGTTGCTTATTCGCCCCACCTGGCTGTCGTCCTGGAACCGATTGCATGATCCAGTTCAGTTATGTGGTAAGGTCGACTGAATTTATTCTTACAAATACTTATTGTAGCCTGTTCTTTACGGGTTGAAAACCGCATTACTTTCATATATAGCAAATGAAATCAGTGAGATTTGAGACAACCGAAATACTATGGGTTATTTTCACTGGTTTCTGTCTTGGAAAATCGTAGAAAAAATGTTAGAAATCTGAAACTAAATGGAGATTTCACTTTTGAAGAAAGCTATATATTTATTCACTTAATCACTAGTGTTTTCAGAAATGGAGAAAATTTTTTATCAAGTTGAATAGAGGTTTTATCTATGAAAAACAGCCGAATTCACATACCATAAAAGCAAGATGTGTTAAATCTGAAATCATGCTGAAATTGAAAAGCATCAAATCATTATCTCTTTTTCAAATTTTAGATTTATCTATAATTTTTCGAAAGGCCTAATGTAACTTCTAAGGGAAATTTTCTACAAAAAAAAACTCTTGGTATTATACAGAACTTTTTTCGGATAGAATAAAAATAGAAGAAAAATATATTTTGTGTTCCTGTTTTCTCTTTTTTTGTGAAATATCGCGCACTCTTTTGTATTAGTGCAAATTTTGAAGGATATTTCTTATGTAAATTCCTAGGAGGAACTGTTGTGATATATTAGAGTGTTACATGAAGGTAGCTTGGAAATCTGAGCTTTTTAGCCTTCAAAGTTTGCCAAAAAATGGTATTAAAAATTCAAAAACCGGATTATTCATGTGTGACATGCACATATCAAAACTTCAGCCACCTCAGAATTTACTAGGAAAAATCTTTTGAGCAATTTATGAGTTTCCTCAGATGTTACACAACTTATGTGACTACCTAATATTTTTTAGGTAGATGGCCCCTTTTTGGACATGGAATTGGCGGGTACACCTAGCGTTACAAATGGATACATAGCGGTAGGCTTCTCTCAGGACGACAGAATGGTGGGTCTTAAATTTTTTATTGCATGAGGTTCCTCACTATTTGAGTGCAAACAAGTGCATCAAGTCTACCCACTTTAAAAAATGTTCCTTGCTCTAAGAAACGGTTCAAATGGTCTATGACTCAATTCTTTATTCTCCGTCCGAGACCGGAAAACGTCGCGCTAAAAAGTTTGCTTTCATTTTCCTCCGAGCTGAGTTGAGTTGAGTATATAAACAGACACTCGAAATGGGTGAGTCATAGTTGGGTCAAAGTATGCAACGAACACAGCCTGCTATTTGCACAACGGCATATTGCATGCCATAAAAAACGGCAGATTGGAAAAACCGAGAACGATGAATTTGCTGGGAAGTAGTTAGAGGGATAACAACAAATGTACACAAACGAAGAATAGAAAAGTAATGGTAACAGAAATTATACAAGATTCAGTGATATGCAGAGAATGCAGAAAACTTTTGTGTTACGTCCAAACCATTAGCAAATGATTTTTTACGCAAAATGCAAATGTAACCTTTAATTCAACTGGATTGGCGGCTGAAAGGCGGGGCCTTGTGACCTAGTTAAGGCCGCTCGCGTCCGCGACGCAGTCTGCGTCTCTTCCGCGCGCGTGCTCTCTATTATTCTCTAGGCTTAGTTAGGTCACGAAGCCTCGCCTTCCAGCCGCCAAGCCAGTAGAATCAAAGGGTATTTCTCCTATATGACGTTATTGAAGGGCGATGATATGGTGGTCTACTGTGCGAACTTCAATGGATCACCGGTTGGAGGTTTGGCGAGGAATGAGCCTCAAAAGGCAAATACTTTACTGGTGAGTTTATCTTTCCCATAATTATTGGAAAGGAATAATCTGAGACTTTTGCAGAGCAATGTTGGTATCCAAGATGTGAGACAAGCTGTTGTGAACGGTAATGCGCTATACTGTGCAATCAAGTGGGTGATTTGATATTTTTATTGATTTTTTACCTGTTTCTGTACCTAAAATCATGCCAAATTGACCGAAAATTTTCTTGAGATTTGATTGTCACATCTTACAGCGGTACTAATATACATGAAAAATATGATCCCCAAAACTCTCGTAGCAAGAAAATTGAAATATACAAAAAGTTTACGAGAATTCTGGATACTCGACGTGCTTTACGTAGAGATTAGCTGCAGTTTCTTTGCAAAAGATTCACATACGCTAATATCCCACAACTCTATGCAGAAGGCACAAGCGGAAGAAAAATGTTTGTTCTAGCTAACACAGCCTGAGTGTATACTCTTCTGCATTGGGTATGTGATAAGCGCTAAAAAATAGAAGCTTTTTTTGAACGAATTTCCGAAGGAATAGAGGACCCATATTAACTTTCAAGATAAGCGATTTTTTTGCAGGTTAACTTAGCTTTTGAAATTGTTCTTTCACATGAATTTGAAGTCTTAGGCCACGTTGTTTCGAAAATTGCTGTTTTGTTTTGTTTCCGCGCAGTTTCGCCCAGGATCCACGCTTTGCGCCATGAATCCATGCGAATTACAATCGCGGGGTCCAGTTTTGAGGGGATCTCGGCCGTTAGAGCACTACCTGAGCTGCCGGTTGGGCAGTGGCTTAGTTAGGGCCCCAAAATTACTATCCACGTTAAATCCCCATGAGTCCAGACTTGCATAGACGCTGCCTTTAAAGGACCGCCGTCGGCTATTTCGGATCCTACCAAGGAGGAAATGAGGAGTTTTGGAACCAAAATGTTACCATATATAAATCTTAGGTGTAGAGCAGGTTTATGTAAGGATTTTGGAAAACTTATGTGAAGTGGAAGTTTTGCCCCCCCCCCTCAGGCGGGCATCAGATGGGCAATAGTCCACCTAACTTGGGAAAAAAGTTGAGCATGCTTTCACGCAAGTTTTTCGAAAATAATTTTCATACTTTGTTTCTCAGTCCCATTGCGCATACACAGACTAAATTTTGTACCATATCGTCATCTGTGCGTTGCAGACGAGCCATTTTTCCATATTTTGATAGTGAAAAATATTCAGAAAAAGCTTGTCACAACTTCCATTCACATAATTTTTTAATAGAACTCCTCATTCAAGTCCTACAGACCCGTGTTCTTGCACGTACCAAGTTTTATGCTGTACTGTCATCTGTGCATTGCAAACGAGCTATGTTAATTCGCATCTCCACTCGCTAATTACGAGAAATTTTGGAAAAAACACTTGGCACTTCCTCCATCTACATAAGTTTTCCATAATTTTTAAACCTTGTCTCCAGCAGTTTACGTTCATTCATTTACGCAATTTGGCACCATATCGTTAAGCATATATTGAAATCTAGTCATGTGTACGTGCTGTTCAAGTTTGCATCGATTAAGCGACGTCGCGAGTTTGGCAGTCAGCGACGACGCGCGCGAAAGCTCAATTTAATGGAAAGAGCCCAGATTTGTCCATCGCTTGAACTATCTATTTTTCCCGGGCCCCAACTCGGTTCTCGCAAAAACGACATCTCGTTTGCTTTTTTTCACCCAAAACGATTTCCAGCCTGTCATTTTCCCACATCGTGCCCGGCACTGAGCCTACCATGTGCAGACGTATGTCTCTACTAAACTAAGCACTCGATGATTTCTTTCAGCCAGCGCATAGATTCAAACGAAGCTGGGTTGGTGAATCTCAATGGAACCTACTACATATTGCTTTCGAGTGGCCCAGTTGAGGGAAACCGTAAGTAATTCTATATTATAAAATGTCAAGGTAAATGCATTCTTGTCATCTTGCAGGACTTAACTATCATGGAACAAATCGTTATGTACTACCACGTACAGTGTTATCTGCCTATGTACGAGGTGTAGGATTCGTCGGAGGTTGGCATTCTATAATACATACTTTATTTGAGTTTGGTTCAATTTAGTAATTTTTTAGGTTTGGGACGAGACGAAGGTGGCAGGTCGACTAATGATAGACTCATGATAGCACACGGTAAAAATCTAGGCTTTCTACGCCCAAAACACTTCAAATATAAAATTGTGAGCAAATTGCAGCCTCTTTCCAGGAATATTGATGGTTCTCTCGTGGTCGATCTTTCTATCAACTGGTATTCTTTTCGCTCGAAATTTCAAAGGACACTTCCCTGATACCACCTTATGTGGCCTGAAGCTTTGGTTCCATGTAGGCGTTTTATTTGGCTACCAAATTGCCTTCTAAAGTCCGTGAATTCAAGTTCCATCGCACTCTCAACATGATTGGAATTGGTGGAACAATTGCTGCATTCGTTGTAGTCTTCGTAGCTCATGATTGGCGATGGATCGGCCCTAAAGCGTATCAGTCTAAGGAACTTGTAAGTTATGTTTACTGTCAGTAAAGCCTTTGTACTCCATGTGGCGACTCGGTGGGCTCTTGACACCTAGATGTTAAAGGCAGTGTCCGGGCAAAAAGTCGATTTTGAGATTTGGTGCTTACCCGATCCTATTCGCTATGCTGAATCCGAAAATTCACATTAGAAAGCGCGAAAACGGCAAATAAGGGCTCTAACGCAGTAGGGAAATCAGAAGTGGGCGGGACCTTCCCCACTGCGGATTTACGCTCCAAGCTTCCGGAGCGATCTTCTCGGTCCCGATTTCAAATCATGCATTTGCACCTGGCCTGTGGAGATCTCAGGGCGCTAGCAGAATTGAGAAATTGCTTCAGAAGCTGGGACCGTGAAATTCACAGAGGGGAACGCTCCGCCCACTTCTGATTTCCCTCCCGCGTTAAAGCCCTTTTTCGCCGTTCTCGCGCTTTCCAATGTGGATTTTCGATGTCAGCATGGCGAATAGGCCCGGGTAAGCACGAAATCTCAAAATCGAGTTTTTGCCCGGACACTGCCTTTAACCCAGGCCTAGTGTTCGCCCAATATTAACGACGAACCTATCCTGCTGCGTTATCTAACGCGCGACAGAAAGAACATGAGATAGATCAAGTTATTTATCCTTATGACAGCACACTACAGTCAAAATAGACGAAATAATACTAAACTGTCTATACAACTAACAACATAGGACGAGGGCCGTCCCATGCTACCGATGCGCATCTACAAGTAATCTCAAAAATACATGTGGTTCTCGCGGTTTCGCGCAACAAATCTACCGCGCAATGCCCACGTTGTAAACGACGGCAATGCACGTTCCCTCCAACTCTTGTAGATGTTGGATCTCCAACTGACACTCAATTCCATTCTACTACGGCGCGTCTAAATGCGCTGACTAGAAGAATCCGTTTTTCAATCCGAAGAACGTCCGGCTTAACTACTCGTACAAAAAAGAACAGGAGCATAGCGGCTGAAAGCGCCGCTTCATATAACTACCTGGTTGGCAACGAGTCAATAAAGGAGGGATCCTAAGACGATCGCAGCAACACACGTATCGGCTACCATAATCGTCGCCGGATAGCGCGGTAACCGGTGATCGCGGCCTTCATGCCTCGTGGAGCTGTTTGCATGCGAGAAGCGATAATCTGGAACAATGTTTTGCCATTATCTATGATGCACTTTGCGTGCTCGAACTTGGTGCTTGTGTTAGTCCAAGTCAATAAGTTGGGTAAAATGATGATTCTCTCTAAGAAAGGAAAGAGGAGAAAGCCACGCCCTTCAGAATCTTTAGTGTTTGTTTTCTAATTTTTTCGCAAACTTGCATTCTTCACATTGTTTAAAAAGGAGAGTGACGGAAGTTGAGATTTTTTTTACAAAGGCAGCACTTTTTTTCAAAAGTCTATAGAATTTTACAATTATCTGCAAATAAACGAAGCTTACTTGATAATCATATGAAGATGGGGAATGGACGAGTAATAATGATAAGATTTGGTAGAGACATTGACATGATATGTTTTGCCTTTGTCCATATCTTCCACAAATTACTCAACTTTACGTGCTGCGCTCATAACGGTAGTCGGGAGAGGGAGCCCATGTATTGGTATGATATCCTCTACCCACACAAGGACTCAAATTTCTCATACTTCCTTGCCATAAATTTCATATTATAGAAGCAACTAGCTGGCTTACCCGGCTCCGCCCGGCCCTGTCAAAACACTACGAAGCTCTCATCCCTATTCCATTACAAGCTTTCGTGCCCACGCCTACATGCCAATTCACTATTCCCGCTGTTTTAGTAATCAGCACGCTCGATTAACCCTTCTGTGCCAACTCCCAGGTAGCTCAAACTTTGCAAAAAATCGATAAAATCGATGTCGATCGGTAACGAAAAGTAGCCTATGACACCCGCCCGGCCCTGAAGTTTATGTGTGCCAAGTTTGGTCCGGATCAGTTCGGAAATGGAATTTTCTATTCAGAACATACGCATACAGACAGACATACATACAGACAAACAGATATTCAGCTTTATATATAAGATTTGTGTTCATTACCGTAATCCATAGATTCTTATTAGTCCTTTGAGACAGTGGATTACGGTAGCAGACGGTAGGTAAGCTGTTGTGTAAAACTCGAGAAGTCTTCATTTTGCTTTGATATTACCTTCGAACTCACCAATTTTGCAATGTCACGAAATTACGTCATACTGCTCATTATAGAACAACAGATGGAGTTCGGTACACGCAATGCTTGGTTTGATTGCTTGCGTTGTCGCATGGGCTCAGCCTCTTGGGGCTGTATTCAGGTACGTTTTTGTTCCTGATCCCCCCCCCCTCTCCCCCTTCCACCGTCCCACTCCACCTCAGGCACGCAAAACAATATTTTTGCAGGTGCCACCCAGATCACAAGGCGAGACCTATTTTCAATGTAGTACATGGTTTCTTTGGGGCAGGAGCGTGGCTATGCGCTGGTAAGCTACTCCTCTTGAATTTGTTTCTGATTTTTTGTGTAGCGTCTAAGAAACATTAAACTACAGCATAAATATATAAAAAAATATATTTTCAGTTGCCGCCATAATGATAGCCGTCGTACATTTTAAGGGCATGTTCAGCGACCGTGATGCTGCTCTTGGTCTTTTCATTGCGTTTACAGCAATAGCTGGACTAACCATAATAGCCATGGAAACACTGACTTTCAAAGGTAACCCAAAAACAAAATTTAAAAAAGTTTACATTCATTGAAAAACTGATTTATTTTCAAGTTTGGTGGACTGGTCGACGTCGCGTTAGTGAAATGGAAATGGTTCGGGTGGGTGGTTCTAGTGGTAGCGCAGTCTCAGAAGATATCGAAAAGGTTACGGTAGAGTGCATTCAACCGCATAGCCAAATCTACGACTTTCAGGCTCAACGTCTACAATGGTTTATACTGCTCTTCTTCTTAGTTGTTGCTATCGGTACTGCCATTGCAATTTCGATTCTCATTGGACTAAAACCAAAATTGTAGAGTCTTCAAGCCATATGCTTGTCGAAACTTTCTGAATTGCCTTGATTGCTGCAGAGAGATCTTTGCTATATTTTTCATCTTTTCGTCATGCACAATAAGACCGCAAAACATTAGGCTGCGTTCATAGTTTCCCATGCGCCGACGTTGCGGTGCCGCGCATGCGGCGATTAGAGCGACTCGGACAGCCGCACGCGACGCGTGGGCAACGCGGCTCCTGTGCCGGCGCTAGACCGGCACGTGGAACTATGAACGCAGCTTTAGCGAAATGCATTTGCTATTCATGACATTTAGCTTTCAAATTTTTTTCTCAACCTTTTCTCAGATTTGCTTGCGCTTCGATTAGATGAGCTGAATGTAAATAAGCGGTGCGATGTACCATGTGCAAGTCATTTTTGTATATCATGTTGAAAATAGTAATCTTGGATGTCGAAAGGCATGTGATTTGATAACTCTCCTTGTCGCTCATTTTCCACATATTATGTCAGGTTTACTACTTAAGGCTCAAATGCTAGTCTTCTCAAATTAATTTGCAATACTGAAACTTAATTTAGCATATACTATATTCTGAAAATTGGTTAGTGAAGTGTCTGAATTTTCGCAAGTTTACACAGCTGAATACAAACAAATGGTAGGCTGAATGAAACCGCTTCGCGACTGCTCGATCTGCCCTGACTCAATTGAGTCACCTGAGGTGGCACAGAAAATGATATCATATGTGTTTTTTTGTCACTCACTTTGTAATTCCATTCAAATCTATTTGTGAGGCCGATTTTTAACTAATGGGGCACATCTAGGAGTCTTTGGCACATATCATAGCCTTTCAAAGGCAGTGGATTCGCAAAATGAACCCTTCTCGGATTTTCGTGAGTTTAGGTAGTGGACCCTCCAAGTACACTGTAGCTCAAAAGCCACCTGCCAATTCATGCATTGAGTCCTGAAAAATGCGCTTCAAAACTCACCAGCCCCGCCCCTTTGCATTGAGTGGGCGAGGCTGGTGGGGTTTTGAAGTGCATTTTCGAGGACTTAGCGCACGAATTGGGAGGTGGGGTTTGGGCTACCAGTGTGCTTGGGGAGGGGGGTCTACTACCTAAATCTACCAAAATTCGAGAAGGGTCCATTCTGCCGATCCACTGCCTCTAAATTGACACTTTTGTAAGATCATCATTTTCCGAAATACAAACATAACACCGGGAAAATACGAACAAAGCACCAGGAACACCAGGAAAGCTTCGTCGCAGAACACACGTGTCCACTGAAAATACCAGTCTGAATGTAATAAAATACCAGTAAACTCCCTGGAGTCCAACGGAAATTCGCCACATTCGTGGAATTTCGCGAGATCGCAGATCACGCAAACTACGCAGCTACTTCTAATCGCAAACTACTACAACTTCCTTCAAGAAGATCACATTAGAATATATTCTAAATCTGAAAAAAGAAACTTTCTGCTCAGCCTTTCCAGGCGAATTTTTTGTAAATCTGAAAAAATTACTTTTTGCTCAGCCTTTCCAGGCGAATTTTTTCACTTAGCATGCCTTCGATATTTCGTTTTCAGCTGTTTCAAATCTTCTGCGGACGACTTTTCGCAAGGATATTACGCAGCCCACACAACATAAAAATTCCAGTAAGCACTGTTCGATAGTGCTATGTTCGCAAATTATCCGGCTAAGAAGCTGGAGAGTTTCTAAAAGCGATAGAAGGGCTTGTGAATTGTGAAAAAATCATGCTTAAATTCTACTCACCATAACCATAATTATGAAGCTATTTAGCTAAGCAGTTGTGATTTTCGTAATCAGCAGGTCAGATCACTTCTACAAGCAAGCTTTCCAAGAAGATTATTGGGTTATTTGATTTTTTCTCGTTCTACGCTCTGCTCTTCTTAGATTTGGCCAAAATATTGACGATTTTGAATTAAAAGGAAACTTTGCTCATATAGGTTCTTGGACACGCTGTTTACGAAAATCGTGGTTCTTGCTAAGCAGGGAATGGTCAGAACTTACCTCAGCCGTACCCAACATGCTGTAAATCATCGGTCTGCTAAGCGACTATTTGGAAGGAGTTATGAGCGTTTGAATGTGCGATCTTCAAGTGTTCTGTGGCGCAGGTTCCACGAAATAGGTTTGAAAAACAATTATTTAGGTTTATGGTGATTGTACTTCTTCCTTGTAATAAAAATAACCATAGCCACTGTAAATCGTGCCATAAGCCTGCCTTTCAAGGACATATATTCGTCGAAACTCGGAAAAAAATATTTGAACGCTCGTAACTCTTCCCAAATAGTCGCTTGGCAGATAATAAACTTATATTTAAAATCAGCGTTTCAAGAAGAGTCCAATGATATACAGTTTGTTTGGGATGGCTGTGTTGAGCTCTGACCTTTTCCTCGTAAGCACCGATTCTTCTAGCAGAGATATGGTAAGAGAGCTGCGGCAAAGCCGCTAAAGTTCGCAAATTTTTGCCGCGCTTTTCGCGTACCTAAGGATGCCTGTCTTGATCTGTAGGTTGAAGTCAATAGGAAACGTGCCATTGAACGGTTTTTGTCTCAGGCTTCAGTCTGCTAGGTTGTCTCATGATTTTTTGCCGTTTTCACACTAAACATCAGCATTTCTTGAGACTAGGGCACCTATAAAGGGCACAAATACATGATCGTGCTTCTGTATGTATGAGCCATATGACCACGTGCGCGAGAGGAGTTCAGAACGTCTAGGGGCGGAGTTTGCCATTTTACCTCTTTCGTTTTTCACTTATTTCTAGCCTTCGAAAAGATATGAAGAGTGTACAATTGATTATGCGATGTGTCAAGCATATGCTAGGATAGCGGAATTTTTCAGTTTGGGGCGAAGATACGATTTTTGACAGAAAAGTTTGTTTTCGACTACCATCACATTTCAGCTCAAAACTTCATGTGGATACGATTTCGGTAGACTTTTGATAGCCATCGTGTAGAGCTTACTTTGCCCTGCTGAATTATTACTCAAGCCACATTAGATGAAGGAAAGATACAAAAAAGCGGCGGGGAATAAAGACGGTGAAAAATTATGAGACACCCTAATATAACTGTCGCCAAGTTACGAGCTTAGGAAAGCATGTCTCATGAATATTGTCCAAAACGCAAATCGCATACTTCGTCGAAATTCTTTCGTAGGTGGTTGAACACCGCGATTGTAAATCTTACGTTCACTTCGCTAAGGGGCTTTGCACGTTTTGTAAGCGGTATCGCAGTCTGAAACGTAATATTTGTCCGTTAATTCCGCACTGAAACTCACACTTTTCTGGCGTTTTGCTTTTTCGAAAGTGAAAGATTTCATAAGAAAGAGACTTTGAAAAGGGTCTTTGAAGCTCTTTTGAATGATAAGTCATTTGTTCGAGGACTTCAGGAGATTACTGCGCAAGTTTACGTGATGTTTAGGATGTCAGGCCCAATTTTCGAGGAGCCGCTGTCGGAAAGGCGCAGCAAGATACTGCTAGAATTAAATTGCCACTTACACCAGAAACTTTGCTTTAGGCCTAAAACAAAGTTCACGCGATTTGATCGTCGCGATTTCAATTTATTTTCATTTTACATTCAAGAATTTCGAGCTGGAAAAGTATCACAACCGAAATGCAAGCTGATCGGCATGCAATGAACTCGTAACAGTTGTCTTGTAGGGATTGAATCGCGACGATCAAATCACGTGAACTCTGTCCGAGGGCTTACACCACCGTCTGTTCGTTAGAAATAAGATCGTCGGTATAAAAAGTGAAAAAGCATTACCTTCATATACAGGGTGTCCCAAAAGTATGTATCGAACGTTTGATCGTTAATAACTCTCTTCCCAAGAAGTCTTTTGCCTTGCTTTACTTACCGTTTTGTGGAGCTGGCTTCAGCTTAGATTTGCACTATAGAACGAATCATTCATCTCTCTTCATTACTGTAGGATTACGGTAGAAACTTGAAACATATGGTGTTAATGTGAAAAAAGCTGCCGTTTCAAAATTTTTCAAAAAATCGTGAAAACTTGTGTAATAGGGTTTTTATGGACGCTGAGTTCAATAATTAACTATTCACAAGATTACGAAGCTTTCTAAACGGTGCAATCCCACTTTTTAGGAACATTGAAAAAATGGCCGCTACTTCTTACCTGGCATAACTCTTCAATGAAGCATCATAATAAGTTGGGAACTTTACAGTTATAATCAGCAACTCTAATTAGCCTAGTGTAAAAGTTTTAAGGCTGTTTTGTTTCCTTTCTGGGGCAAAATATGGCCTTTCATTGCTTAAAACCCCTCCTTGAAGTTTCTACCGTAATCCTACAGTAATGAAGAGAAATGAGTGATTCGTTCTATAGTGCAAATCTAAGTTGAAGCCAGCTCTACAAAACGGTACCTGAAGCAAGGCAAAAGACTTCTTGGGAAGAGAGTTATTAACGATCAAACGTTCGATACATACTTTTGGGACACCCTGTATAATGAATATACAGGGTGTCCCAAAATAATGTGCACACTGTTTGATAACTTTTGAGTAACTCTCTTATTATGAGATCTTTCGAGAAGACGTAAGCGCCGTTTTGTAGAGCTGGCTTCAACTTAGATCCGCAGTATAGAGCGAATCACCGACCGCTCTTCATTACCGTAGGATTACGGTAGAAACTTGAAAGAGGGTTTTGAGCTATGAAAGGCCATATTTTGCCTCAGAAAGGAATCAAAACAGCCTAAAAACTTATACACTAGGCCAATTAGAGTTGCTGATTCTAAATTTAAAGTTCCCAACTTATTATGATGCTTCACTGAAGAGTTATGCGAGGTTAGCAGTAGCGGCCATTTTCTCAATGTTCCTAAAAAGTGCGGTTACATCGTTTAGAAAGCTTCGCAATCTTGAGAATAGTTGAGTATTGTACTCCGCGTTCCTAAAAACCCTATTACACAAGTTTTCACATCTTTTTGAAAATATTTGAAACGGCAGCTTTTTCCACAGTGACACAATATGTTCCAAGTCTCTACCGCAATCCTACAGTAATGAAAAGCGGTCGGTGATTCGCTTTATACTGTAGATCTAATAAGGGAAGGAAGGTTGGTCGAAGTGGCCTTTTGAAATGGGGTGTATATTGCCTTGTAGAGCTTGGAACGCTGATTCCAAATCTACCTTTGCTATCTGCTGCGGGCTTCTGGGCGACGAGTTATGAAGTTTTTTGTGAGTAAAAATCTGAATGCAAAAATAGGGTAAAATCAATCGTAACCTTTTCCCAATGTTCAAATGAGGCAGCAGCGAATTAATATACTCGCATCAAGAATATTTGTTGCGCCGAGTGACCCGACTACCAATTAAGCTCTATAAAAAATGTTACGACTGATTTTAGCCTACTCTTGCATTCAGATTTTTACTCACAAAAACCTTCATAACTCGTCGCCCAGAACCCCGCAGCAGATAGCAAAGGTAGATTTGGAATCAGCGTTCCAAGCTCTACAAGGCAGTATACATGCCCTTTCAAAAAGCCACTTCGATCAACCTTCCTTTCCTTGTAAGTTGCAGCCAGCTCTACAAAATGGCGCTTACCGCTTCTCGAAAGACCTCATAATAAGAGAGTTATTCAGAATCAAACAGTGTGCACAATATTTTGGGACACCCTATATATATATATATATTAGTTCCTAAGAAGCTACTCTCCACTGAGTCTAAACCCTCATAACATACCTGATGGTGATGCTATGTTCCTACAAACGGAGCAGTGAACAATTAAGGTCCCGTAAAGGTATACAGCGCAAATATCATCAATTTTATTACTGTCGTGTTTAGCGTTCTTTGAGTTGTCTGTTCTTTGCTTCCGTTTTTATAAGGGCCACCGAATAATAAACGTAGACTAATTTTTCTAAAATGGAAGTGGCTTCCATTCATCAATGGTGCTTTCATGCTAACACTTTTGAAAGAGAAAGAACCATACTACCTCCTTTGAAAGATTAGCTTTCAAAATAATCAAGTCTTTCATATATGCAGGGTGTTGCATTTTAGTACCAACAGTGGACTTTCGCAGTGAGACGTCATTTATGTTTGGCCGTAATATCGCTCACCTATTATGGGTGAGTTTTTGAAAAAGTGGGCCCTTCTGCTCGGCGGCAGCATAGTACCATTCCGATGATGGATCTGGCAACGAAGGAGTGAGCAGCATTACAAAGGCTTATCAGCGAAACATTCACATGCAGGAAAGTATGTCGAAACCAAGCACGATTCTTGCAATGAATCTAAAATTGGGTTCCCGAGTTGGAAAAGGATAGATCACACTTTCAAGGCAAATCATATACCCTAATTTCACGCGTACAGAACGCGGGGATTTCTTTCTATTAGGGTGAACGGTAAAAAATGGGACAGCTTGATTTTTTTTTACACTTTGAGGTTTTTTGTTCTCACCAACAACAAGCAGGCTATAACTCAAAGGTCGCTTACATAAACGACCATCGCCTATTATTCTGGCAACGCGTTACCTCTCCTCTCTTATAATCGTACGCGTGGCGCCGTGAAGAACTCAGACAGGATTTTTGGAACAATTCTCATTCTTGCGCTGCTATACCGTAAAGTCGTAAAGCAAATGACATACCATTCGAAAGAGCTCTTTATGCTCTTTCAAACGATAGGTTAAACACATAAGATTTCTCTTCAATTTCAAAAAAGAAAGCGAAAAAACCTGGAAGATAGCTATTCATGGCGCAATAAAAAACCAAAAAATTATGCCAATTTGCCCTATATTTTCCGAAGATAGAAAAAATCTGAGATAAGCTGCATAGTGGATAGAGCGCAGAAAGCTCTATATCAGACGGTACCTAGAAGACATGCGTTCACCTACAAAGAATTGAATAGCGCGTGTCTTTGTCCTCAAAGCTGCTAATGGCCATATCTCCTGACTTTGAAAGTTGAGGCCACCAAGCCGTCGTGGGTTTAGTGACTGTCCCACCACCCACTCCAGCAGTGGTACTTTGGATGGTCTCACATGTTTCACTGCGCAGAGACTGCTCAAACTTCATAAATTATTAAAGTGACTAACTTTGCATTTCCGCAAGTATAAAAATCATTGATTATGTGAATGTCCTTCTATAGCTATTGTCTCAAAGAGAATTTCATAAACTAACATCTACCAAAATTGGAAAGTCTAATCGCTCCTCTTTCTTGAGAAACCTCCAGTTATTTCGAAAGTGTCCCATTTTTTACCGTTTACCCTAATATAATCGAACGGCACAGACACGCCAAAGGACTTCGCGAACATAAAACTATATACAGCGCTGCATATTGCCTGAAAGCAGAGTGCCGCACAAGTCTCTTTTCCGAAATAGAGAGGGGCGGCTGAGCGGCTTGCTCAAAAAATCGAAAAAGGTGTGTCTTATACGCGTGAAATTAGGGTAATTGGACACGGTGAAGAGTTGTCCTGGCGCCACGCTAAAGGCAGGTTCGGCATGGTTAAGTCGTTGGATTTTGGTGCCATGTCAAAGCGGGCGCTTTCGTACATGTCATCGCACAGATGCGGAGTAACTAAATCAGACCACAAAGAGAAATCGGCGGGGGATGTTGGGAGGACGTTGTAGGGAGAGACTCGCCCACAAGTGATTTTTGCGGCAGAGTACGTATGTACTGCAATTAAAATCAAGACTTTCACAGAGGACTGCGTTTCAGCTTTGTCGAAACTGTTTTACATTTTAAATTAGAATTGTAGAGCCTTGCAAAAAGACTTTTTCGCTTCCCGAGGCGATCGGGTCAGCGCCGCGGACAAGCACAGGTGAGCAAGAAAGCTAGATACTTTTCTTTGCTCGGACACTATCTTCAATGCTAAAGCCAAATGGTTTTGGTTGTACATCTTTTCACTATGCAAAGGTTTCAGACGAATGTGCTTGTATTGTACGCTCGGTATACGATCAAAGATTGTGGTCAAAGCAAAGTATGTGTACGAGCACCGCCGGGATGTAATGGTGTAGATGATTGTACGGTCATATTCAGTTTTCGGGTGAGTATTGTGGATAACGCAGCTTAAACAAAAGATTGCAGGGTAGACGCGGACATCGCAATAATCAACACTATCATTCTTGATAAATGTTGTCTTCGATTTTTCGCTTAGCTGATTGGAGGTCATCTCGGGGTGATTCATCGCAGACTTGTTTGAACGAGGCTTCGAATAATTCCAAGTCTCGGTTTTATTAGGCTGGAACGGAAGTTCCCGGGCACTTGCGAAATTTTTTTCGCAAACTACTGTAAATTCAAGCATCTTTTTTAATAGCTGCAAACTTTGCTGCAAAGGTAATGTCCGGTACAAGGTATGGTCGTTTGTTGTGTTCTCAATTCATGTCGACCAGCATGTGCAGTAGGGAAAAGGTCAACTCGATTTTCGGCCTGATGGGGCAAAAACTTTTTTGGCACGGATTGAGCAGCAGAACTCATTTCCGGTAGTTATGCCGATTTCTACTGGAGCTACTTGTAGACTGAGTCATAACTTTAGAGGACAGTTTAGAATTTTTTTTCAAAAACTGGAAAATCGGCCATTTTTGCATCCCGGAAAGGCCGTATTTTGAGTAAATGAGTTTGAAGTCTTCCTTTCTTCCACGAAATGAATCAAATCCTCGATTGTTGCAAACATTGTTAAAGTATTGTCTTGCACATCTTTTGGGTCCATCATATCGAGGCGTGACGATCCTTACAAAGTCGACGCCGAATGCGAAAACCGGTGCTGTCAAAGACAAATTTAAGAGCTTGTAATTTGTGTGTGCCTATTGTAAAATCCGAGCACAGCTGCGGTGTTTAAGTGGACTCTGCTTATTCACACTAACCAACCTTTAATGGTTTTCTTTGTTCATTATGAAAAAATGGCAGCAAAAAGAAATTTGAAATTTTCTTCGTGGCACAGACTCAGAATGTGTAGGTAGAATCAGCACACTGAATGATCCATTTACACTGAAATCCTCTGGAATCAGCACACTGAATGATCCATTTACACTGAAACTCCAAGAAGACCTATATCCCACAATTAGGCACATCTGTACACCGGAAGATGCGCCTCGCCGAGCCGAGTTGAATGGTACTCTTATATATAGAATTCATAAATTTTGAATCAAGATAAGGTCTTTTTTATAAAAAAGTTAGGCGTTGCGCGACAAAGTTAGGCGGCAAGTGCCGCTTTTCCGCCTAACTTTGTCGCGCGACGCGGCGCTTGTCACCTAACTGCGGCGGCGCCGCGTGAGTTAAGTGCCGCCGCCAATTTTTTTCACAAATTACGGGTGGTATTGTATAGCGGCATCTATCTGACTTGAAGCTCGACACGAGGTTTCCGAAAATGCAAAGAGTTCCCCCCCCCCCCCCCCCGACCTTTCTTACTTTCGCAAAAGTTTACAATGTCCATGACCTTTATCTTAAAACCCTAATCCACTAAAAAACGAAACGACGACTAAAAATACCTAATTTCCGACCCTCAAAAATAAAATTCCCTTTGTTTTTTGTCCGACAAACGATATCCATCTTGTTCATAGGCCACCTGTGGCGAGCCCTGATCTACTTACGTTTTCCTTCAGCGCTTCCTCCATCTCCGCCGCTAGAAGATGACTGAATTAAGTGCAGTGAGCAAGGGTTGGGTGTTTGTTATGACGTAAAATCCAAAGCAATTTCTACATTCTACTTCGCTTATTGACGTAGGAGAAGAATACAGCAAGAGTAGAAGAAAAAGTATTGAGCTTAGTGCCGTTCGCAGTAGCGTACTGTCTGTTTTTCGTCACAAGCGATGATGTTTAAATTTGGATATTTGAAAGTGTATTTAACAAGAGTTACTTTTTTGCTTTTACTTGATAACTACTTCTCTTGTTTACGATTTTTTCTTCCTCTCAATCCGAGATATAGGTCCAACTTCAGGCATAGGAAAAGTTAGCCTGACGCGATTGTCGAAAATACTCAACACGCTTTCCTCCTCTTTGATCAACTTATTTGAAGTTTATTGATCTCAATTAATCACTCATCTCAAACATTTTTGCTTGAGTTTCACTGATTTATACAGTCGAGTAGATTTCCTGCTTAATATAGTGTCCCTGCAGACGCGACAACGCTGGGGCGTCAATAATTGCCTGACGAGTTCCCGAGCTAGTGTTTTCCAGTGTTTTCTTTGCTTATTCTATGCTTTTTAGGTTCGTCGCTGATAAAGAACAAAAGGGTAAGTTAGAGAGTAGTTTTTGTTTTCTGAGAAGTTCTATCATCGCATATTCACAGATATCCACATGGAAGCAGTTCGCGTCAGCTTCTTGTCTATTTTTTTGTCACTTCATGTCTCTTTCTTCTTGTGAGGTACTTCTTTGAACGCTAGTGGGTTTTTTCGATTGACTTATTGTCTAAAATGCTATTTCTTGTGGATGAAAGCCGAAGTTGCTGCAAAACAAGCTAACTAGGGTCCAAAGAAACGCCTCACAAGAAGGAGTAGGTTTGAAAGAAGAAGTGACAGAAGAAAAGGAAATGACAAAATAAAATAGACAAGAAGGTGACGCGAAATGCTCCCACGTGGATATCTATGAATATGCGATGATAGAACTTCTCAGAAAACAGAAAATACTCTTTAACTTACCCTTTTCTTCTTTATCAGCGACAAATAACCTAAAAAGCATAGAATAAGCAAAGAAAACACTGAAAAACACTAGCTCGGGAACTCGCAAGGCATTTATTGACGCCCCAGCGTTGTCGCGTCTGCAGGGACACTATATTAAGCAGGAAATCTACTCGACTGTACTTGCGACGCACTAGCATTTAACCCACTATTTTTATTACTAACTCTTTTAATGATGAGATAGACTACAAGCTTACAGCTTAAATGGCTTATATAAAACTAGCTGATCTGCCCGGTCCAGCCCGGGAATGATCACTGATCGGGAATGAAGATAAGGTATTCGGTGGCATTGAAGAAACTGTGTAAAGAACAAAAACAAAATGTGAACACTTATTAGTCGGTGGCATATCTCTCTTTCTCCAAATCAAGTTCAACACGCAAAACCTAAGCAAGCAGCGCGAGTTAATTGATAGCAGCGCTCATTGTTATTATGAGGATCATTTTTTGTGACACTTTGCCGTTAACCGGCTACTTCATCTTCATTCACTGCTTGCCGTCAATTTTTGTGGAGTCGGCAGTACTTTGCACTCGCGCACTTTCCTGGTCCAAGGGATCAACTATAGCGAATGTGAGTTGTCGCTTGCCTTGACATTATTTCTGGTATTGACAAATAATTTGTGCGCAATCTCATGAAAAATTTTGACCCCTCATTGTTTAAATTGAGCATGTAACGAAGAAAGCATTGATTATAAGCGTAAATTGAGCACGCTTCCGTACAAAACACTCGCTACAAAGCACTCATGGTCTCTTGCACGCTAAGGTTTCCGCATAAGATACATTTAGTGCATCCATTTAAATGAGCAATTGAGACTCACATCAAGAACACTTTTCACTGCACTTCGTCAACAGAAGTTCACAATGAGACATGCCAGCCTTGTTTACATACCCCTGTTTTGATAGCAAATGATAAGAATCATTTTTATTGCAAAGTGCTGCAAATCAATAAATCGATAGAAGGACCCAACGAATCGCTGCAAAAAGTAGCCTATCATCTGCGCAAGGCTCGAAAACATATGTGTGTAAAGTTTCAGCTTAATCGGTTGAGCGGCGCGCGTTTCTATAACGCACATACCCTCCAAACTGACAATTTTTGAGTTTCATATATATATATATATATATATATAGATGCTGATAGCGTAAACCCGTTGTTGTAAGATCACTATTAAATAATTTTGATATTATTTACCTACGCTCTTGTTAGAAATATGATCCGCACGACAACAGCTAGCGTTTTTATGACACAGATTCTCATGCTATCTGCTTGTTGGGAAGATTTAAGTCAGAAGTTTAGTGAACCAGAGCTGGTGTGAGAAAAAATACCGACACTAAAGTCTCTCAAAGATTGAAATTTTGGATTTGATGCTTTTTAGCTCAAAAATCTTTGAGAAGGGGACGAGTGGCGTAGTGGTATGAGGCGCGGCTATGACCAGATCGGACGCAGGTTCGATCCCCGCCCCTGGGCCAACCAAGCCCTCTACCCGTCGGGGCCGGTAAATTGGTACCAGAGTAATCTGGGAGGATAAGAGCACTGACTTGGTAATCAGCTGGCCCCCGCAAGTTACAGTAAAGGCTCGCACGCATACGATCGCCTTTCGGCTATGAAGTAGTGTGCGTTCGGCGCATGCCCGCAGAGAGTATTGAAGACGCGAATCCTTTATCTTATTACCAGTGCGTCACCTCTGCTTCGCAGAGGTTCGCACTGGCTCTACTATCCATGCCTTCTTCGTGATCGCATAATAATGACTTTGAAACTCAGCGCGCGATGCTGAACATCACGAATGAATTGTAAACAATCATTCATTTTTAGAGCTTTTCCATGTAAGATTGGTAATTTTGGGAGAAAAAATTTTCCCGCAGAAAAACAAATGCGATTTTGAATGGATTACTGAATTTATTTTGGCTTTATATTCGCCATAAGGATAAAGACCACCTTAGGCTACATATCTATTCAAAACTCCTCTCAATTTTTATAGTAAAAACTTGGCAAATCAACAACATGCTCAGTTACATCTTTTTAGGGCCAATTTTGTGTAAAAATAGACTTTTTGCTTACTTTCCAGCTGAAATCAATGTTTTTCGGATTTACTTGCTGAACGAATCCACGACTTTGCAAAAAGTCCAATTACCGACCTATTTTGGCAGGCCAAAAGTCGCGTGGATACGTTTGACGCACACTTTTCGATGGTTCCACTTACTGGATCGGCTTGTGATTTTGCATAGTTTACCTACACGCTGACAGGGTGCTATGACCAAAATTCTAGATCAAGACGCTGGCTGCAACTTTCTCTGTGAATTTCGTGACAGACAGATATACACACACAGACAAACAGACAGACGCTTAGCGCTTTATTATAAGTCATGATCATTATACCGACAGGGACAAACAAGTTCTTGATGGAAAAAAATAAACTAGGATTAAATTCTCAGCCACATAATTTCATTTGGCTACCAGAGAAGGACTTTATGGTGTTAAACTTCATCTCTTTAAATGGTTTGGAAAAAAGGGCCAAGCTCTTGGATTCTCAGGGCATCTCGCAAAACATCTGGCATTTGAATCTTGATGACGTAGGACTTTGTCTACCTGCCATCGGCGGCGGCCAGGTCTTTTCAAGGCAAAAAACTAATTTTTCTTCTGACATCTTTTACCTTGGTGGCATCGCGATGTAGGAAACTCTCATGCCGACAATGTTTCGAGTGCATGAGTGCAGATATAATCGATGTGTGTTTGGATAGGACGAAATCCGGAGGTGACTACCAGCGTGCAAAGTACCGTAGTTTGAAATTCGAAGGGTGCACAAATCGTTGATTATGAATTCGGAACTGTGCTCTCCCCCCGAGATGTAAGTGGAACACTTAGCTTTGTTGGTCTGAGAAATCGTTTTAGAATTTTCATTGATCTCCAAAGGTAGAACTCATTAAAGGTTTTTGAAAGAACCCTGCAAGTCACTTTGCACTCTAACTTCATCTCCGTAAAGATATGCGTCATATTCCGCTACGCCAAGACGCAGAGACTCCGCAGTGACGCGAACAAAACGTATGCATGCGGTGGTATCATGCGACATGCGGTCTAGCACAGGTATCGTGCTGCTTTCGTGTTTCCTCCAATGGCGTCTTTCCTAAGCAAGGATTATTTCTGCCATTTCTTAATACCAACCTATAAGAACAATAATATACTTCATCGACCCCAGAATAGGTCAGCACAAATTACGCTTATGATTTGCGAGCATTCTAGGGTGACGGAGCAGAGGTGGAATTAGAACTGCTGGGTAAACCTCCAACGGAACCATCGGAAGGTTTCGGGCATATATCCGCAATAATTTCAGACGACCAAACTTTGGTAAGAAGGAAAATCATTGTTTTATTAGGTTGCTCGATTTACATATTCAGGATCATGGAATCGTATATTTTTGCGCAAGATGTAAAGAGTTTGTTAAAGGAGGTTTAGGTGTTAAAACTTCCCAAGGATTGCGGCAGATAGGGGTGTCGGTTGGTGTTTTGGAGCTGAGGTAGTCCACCTATATTTATAAATACAGGAGCACGATGACGAAGGACTATCGTTGACAGCTACTAGCACAGATAATTTGCTATATTGCAAAACTCGGTAAGGCGCAAAATGATTTAATAAAGCAAGATTTTTTCTTACGACTATGACTGGAATTTTTTTTTCAAACCTTGTACTTGTATCAAGCAAACGGCAAGACTTTTTTTCAGCCAAGCGGAGGATGTGCGCGAAGCGTTCTTTTTGGAAAATTTCACCATTGCACTGGCCACAGGAACCTTCAGTGAAATTGGTAGGCCTTTGCTTTAGCAAAACATTGAGAAGAGCTCAAAAATGACATAATAAGAAAGCTTGTGAAAACGCGTTAACAAGTTTGTACTACCCATTCGAAGAAAATAAGTTTGTAGTTTCCTGTACTCAAATAGGTGATCTCTGGAATCTAATGAAGAACTGCTTGTCTCGTTTCACTCTTTTGCAAACTATTTAGAGTGGGTTTGTCTATCCCACATGATAACGACTTCATCTCTCTTTGCTCAAACTATACGGCTGTAATCAGTTTTATTGCTGAAATTTGGTCTGCTATATTTATATCCTTCTGATTAACGACTCATCCTGTACAACAGCGGTATTGGAAATGAGTGTGTATCATATAAGAAAGTTTTTGAATACTTCGCCTGATTGTGGGGCACAAGCTAAGCTGAGCTAAAAGCGAGTCTCACCGAATTGAAGAAATTATGATTTGGATGCCATTTGCTTGCCTATTTTAGACAAATTACATCAAAATAACCCAATTTTGCCACTTTCGCGCTTTCTGTTTTAGAGTTTGAAAACGTGACGAAAGCTCATTTAGAAAAAAAAAATCGAAGAATTGCTTGTACACTGCCTTTAATTGAAATAACAGTACCGTTGCTTTCATGTGCTCGCTCTCTGTGATTTGAGCAGATTTTGAATTTACGGACTCATTGAAACTAATTAAGGCAGTGTACTGGGAGGTTCATGCTCAAAAAATACGCTAGTAGACACATCAAAGATATACAGAAGTTGCGAACAGTGTGAGATAACAGTACAGCAGAAAGGCTGGCACCTTGACACTTGTTGAACTCACGAGGTACAACCTACTAACATTACGTCTATGCTAGAAAGCTGTGCACAGTTAAGCTATTGATTCGCAACCTCAAGAGAGATGTGCATACTACAGAAGCCTTTAGGTCATCTTATATATAAAGCTGAATGTCTGTTTGTATGTATGTATGTCTGTACGTATGTTCCGAATAGAAAATTCCATTTCTGAACCGATCCGGACCAAACTTGGCACACATACACTACGGGCCCCGGCGGGTGTCATAGGCTACTTTTCGTTATCGATCGATATCGATTTTATCGATTTGTATCGATTTTTTTGTTGAGTTCACCTACGGGGCTGGGAGTTGGCACAGGGGGGTAATCGAGCATGGGGATTCCGAATACAATATTGGTTTTCAGGATTATCGATTACTTTTATCGATTTTATCGATTTTTTTTGCAAAGTTTGAGCTACGGGGCTGGGAGTTGGCACAGGGGGGTAATCGAGCATGGGGAATCCGAATACAGTATTGGTTTTCAGGATTATCGATTACTTTTATCGATTTTATCGATTTTTTTGCAAAGTTTGAGCTAGGGGGCTGGGAGTTCGCACAGGGGGGTAATCGAGCATGGGGATTCCGAATACAATATTGGTTTTCAGGATTATCGATTACTTTTATCGATTTTATCGATTTTTTTGCAAAGTTTGAGCTAGGGGGCTGGAATTTGGCACAGGGGTGTAATCGAGCATGCTGATCACCCCCCTTGGGGATGATCAGCATGCTCGATTACACCCCTGTGCCAAATTCCAGCCCCCTAGCTCAAATTTTCAAAAAATCGATAAAATCGATAAAAGTAATGGACGATCCTGAAAACTAATATTGTGTTCGTAATCAGCATGCTCGATTACCCCCTTGTGCAAAATTCCAGCCTCGCATGTCAAAATTTACAAAAAATCGATAAAATCAATAAAAGTAATCGATAATTCTGAAAACTAATATTGTATTCGGAATCCCCATGCTCACTTCCCCCCTGTGCCAACTCCTAGCCCTGTAGGTGAACTCTGCAAAAAAATCGATAAAAATCGGTAAAATCGACATCGATCGATAACGAAAAGTGGACTGTGACACCCGCCGGGGCCCGAAGTGTATGTGTGCCAAGTTTGGTCCGGATACGGCGGAGCCGGGTAAGCCAGCTAGTTACTAATATGCATGAGATCCCCGCGGAGCAAACATTTACACTTTGAACGTCGCAAAAGTTATCCTTTCAAATCAAACGATGACCTTTTCAACTAGTAAGATACACAAGTATGATGAATCTTAATGTTTTTTTGTTTGTCTGCTTTGCTTTTGCCAGACATGGGCTACTTTTACGTCTACATCATAAGACATTATCTGGGTCCATCCTATATGTACTGTGCCTCATTTTGTCGAAATGCTAGAGGTTTTGCGCTATGCAATAAGATCAACATTAGAAGCGTTTCGAGAAGCATATTTCTCAACAATACCGGCATACATTACTTTTTATTTCTAAAGTTTCATGATCCCTGTGGTCGCTTTCGTATTTTTGTGAAGTTTTTTGTTTGAAGAATAACGAGTTGTTTGCATAGTATAGTAGCACTGTAAGATATGCGAAGTGGACTTTGCTCATTTTTTCTCCTACTCAGACAAGGAGGCAGGCGGTCCGCACCCGCGCTTTTCTGCAAGCGGTCAGCAAAATTTTGGGGGGTAGTCAAACCTTCAGCGAGCGGTACTTCCGTGGTTTGCCAGCGGGCAGCAGTAGAAAATTTTCTGCAAGAGCTCGTCAAATAATCTTTTTCAGCAAGGACGGGCTAAAATTTCAACAGGCGCTTGGACTGTTTTTACGCAGTTTCGGGCGTACGTCGAGGAAAGGTAACACTCTACATGGGCAAGGTGTCTCCGATGGTTCAACTACCCTAATTTGGGATACTTTCTCTCAGCGGAAGATACCTACGCGCTGTGCGGTTCTTCACAGACCGTGCGGCCTCAATAATTCTGCATATTCTCGCGGAAGGTACCTACGGGCTGTGCGATCCTTCACAAAGGACCGTGCGGCCCTCATTAATCTTGCATATTCTCCCATAAAATACGCGAGTATGCTGCCACTACGTCGCAACTAGTCTATGAAGAAATCGCAATTGTTCTCCAAGCATTGAACCAAAGTTTGGCCAACATTCTTCCAATTTCTGCAAGCGGAGCGCAAGAAATCAGCGAACTATTTTTCCGGTGCCCGCCTGCCCGTAAGTCGTACTGCCTGCGCCCCGGCGATTATCTGAGTACACGCTCATAAAGTTGTAACGGCACAGTTGTGTACACTACTACTACTTAGACTTGTGCCGTGAAAATTACGCAAAAGATGTCTATAAATCATCTTCTACATCTTCTCGTAGCACAGAGCAGGAGCATCGCCCTACTACCGCTCCAAACGAAGGTAAGGCAAGTTGTTCCTCTAGCAAACATTTACAGAAAAGTTTTAGCTGCTATCGCATCGGCTTTCGGACGACTATGGTCAACGATAGCTCCAGGCAAGTTTGTCTGTACTCTTTTTGAAAATGCTTACTCAAAAACAGACAATCAGAGTTCAAAACAAGTGAGAGACCTGCAACCGAATGAAATGTTGCTGGACCATTTCTTGTCAATACTAATCCAAGAAAATACTGAAAGCACGTTTTGGATGGGCGCTTCTGGGTGCATCATCACTTTGCAACCGTCTCGTGCTTCCTACAAACGGCCTCTCTCCGATATAAGAATGCCATCGTAAATACGCTGGCCTACTACTACAGTTCCACTCATACGCCAGCTCAATTTGTTCTAAAGATAGAGGTCACGAATAATAGGTGCGAACGCCGCGTGCAACAAGACCTTTGTTCCGTCTTTAAGCTGGAAAAAAGCGCATTTTATGGAAGTTCGGCTCGTCGCAGGAGAAAGGAGAATATAAGGCTTTAGAAAATTTCTTTATTTTTGGAAACGAAAGTCCTTTTTTGTATGGTTATGGTAGGAAGGTGCACAGCACAGGCGTCAAAATCACAGATTTGTTACTTTTGGTCCCGGCGGCACGTACCTCGTGTTGAATTGTAGGAAGCGCGATTTTCTGATGTTACACTCGAGTACATAAGCGATGTCATCCCGCATCGGTCGTAGGTATCCACCAGCTAAGGCTGCGCGAGCGCGGGTGATGGCATGAAGTCAGGATGCGACCGCTATTGACTCGCCTTGTTCTTTTCTGTGATCAATTTTCTTTGAGTGCGTTTATGTCTAATTTTCATTTCTTTATTAGCAATGAAATACGTTTATGTTTCAGTTACTACAACGCTGGATCAAAACAAAATGGACATTTTGTATTGACTACTCATGACAGATCATCAAGCGTTGTTCGGACATTCGCAGACAATCGCCGGGGACAGGCGGTCAGCAGAACTTCGGGGCGTGGCCAAACCTTCAGCTGGCGGCACTTCCTTTACAGTCGCATATGCCAGAGGACAGCAATGCGGAATTTTCTGCAAGCGGTGGTTAAATAATTTCTTTCAGCGAGAGGGTGGCATTTTCAGCGGGTGCTCTGACTCTTGTTGCGCAGTTTCGGGCATACGCCGACGCGTACTCTATGTGAGAGTGGCGTCACCGATGGTTTAATTACGCGAGTTTGGGGTACTTTCTCTCAGTGGAAGGTACCTGCGGGATGTGCGGTCCTTCACAAAAGACGATGCGGCCTTTAATAATCTTGCATATTCTCCCATAAAATGCGCCACTGCGCCGCCATCAATCCATGAAAAGCCACGATTGTTCTCCACTCGTTCAAAATTTCGCCAAAATTCTTCAAAATATCCGCGGAAGCAAGAAATCAGCGAACTATTTTTTTGGTGCTCGCTTGCTCACAAGTCGCGTGATCGCCTGCCCCGGCGATTATCTGAGATTGGTAGGTATGGAGTTGGATCAGCATCGCTTTGCACATTCGTTGCAGTGTTTTTGACAGTGATGTCTCTTAAAGAACTGACTTCAAGTCCACAACACTTCAAAAGGCTCTTCTTTTCATCGATTGAGGTATCATCGCACTAGGAGTGTTTTCATATGATTTTCCGCTTTCAACTATAGCTTTATTTCACTTTTTTCTTTGCTTCCCTTGGCCCTTTTCTACGTTCAAAGAAAAGCTTGTGTTACCAGATTTTTATAATAACAATCAAGTTCATAATTGTAATCGAAATGCTGAGATCCCCATCCGACATGCAAATTTGAGATGTCTACTCATTTACTATATGATCACCTTAGCAACAGCGTTTTATGCGAGAAAAGTGTGCCGTGATAATCTTGACAAGTAATCCCCCCATGTACCAATGCCAAAAAAACCAAAAATTTCACTCGGAGCATCCAATTAGCAGCCGCTTTCACTACAAAATCTAAGACCTTGACGTCAGTTAACGAATGATGTGGGAGTGCGCGTAAAAGTGCGATACACAACGCTTGGAGCAAATTTTTCATCATTTCAGCTTGAAATCATGAAAGAAAAGAAAAGTGAAAACAATTTTATTGGAGCGTCCAATTAGCTGCCGATTTTATTACAAAATCTAAGACCTTGACGTCAACCAACGAATGATGCCAGAAAGACAGCACCGCGACGTGTCCCTACGGCGTCTGTGAATTTGTATTGTGCGGAGGCCGTTGTATGCAAGTTCGAACGAGAGCGACGCGAAATTTTTGTGACGGTGTGGCTGTGATCAATGAGCGAGTTCGGCCGGGACCGCCATCTATGATGCCTCCAGGCAAAGTAGATTACTAGCGGCAATGTTGCAGCACATCATTTTGCGCGCAAATTCGCGGTTCGAGACATATCAAGCACACCGAGAGTTCCACTATCGTATCCTATAAGAAGGAGGCAAACTGGGATTTTGTGGCGAAATGTACATAGGGGCCATTTCCTTGTTTGAAATTTGCTGGTTTCCTTGTAAAGAACTGACAGCTTTTCAACTGCTTTCCTTCGCGGCTGGTGTCGTGCAAACATACTCAATATCATTAGCAACGGAGATATGAATGTATGGGTTGTTTCACTGACTGCAGCAGACTGCAGCTGACTGCACTGACCGCAACGGCCGCACGGATCGCTGCTCGTTTCGAAAAGAGAAAACAATTGCGATCAAGTCAAAACACCGTCATTTGCGCCTAGGAAGTTCATAGGCTTCAACTTACTTTTCTCGATAAAAGTTTGGCGATTGTTTTTCTTTGGTATGCTCATATTTGTTCTGATTCTTCCTGTTAATGCCTATCCTGTTTTACTCTTGCTCGTGTTGTCTTTTATGTCTAGGCATATATTGCTGTTGATTATTTGGGCTACAAGTATCTATCCTCTCCACCTTTACGAAAGGACGCAGCGATTTCTGCGGCCTTTGCCGTCAGTGCGGTCATGCAGTCTGCTGCAGTCAGCTGCGGTCAGCTGCAGTCAGCTGCGTTCTGCTGCATCTGCTGCAGCCTGCTGCGGTCAGTGCGGCAGTCTGAAACAACGAAACAACCCTATGTTAAATTATTGAGCCGATGTCTTTCCGAGAATTCAGAGCCCATCCGAGTAAAAGCGTTTTGCCAATTATGTAAGATTTGTTCCCGAACACGGAAGCTCTCCGATCACCGAAGCGCAAAAATAAAACACATTGTCCTTTTACAACTTTTCGTCTGGTAGGTTGAATCAGCGTAAGCAAAGCTTTGCAACAGGTTTCCTTTTTACGTTGCTCTCATCGCGAGCAACCTCTGTTGCAATCATTTTGTGATTGCGCATCGTGTATAGCTTTACAAATTTGTTATGGTACCCATATGCACGCAGCAGATTTATAAAAAATTCTCCGCGAAGATCTTGAAAAAAAGCCGATCTCCGCGAAGCAGATTTATAAAAATCTCATATCATCACTCTTAGCAACCGAAACTTTCACTATTTCTTCTCAAAGATTGTACGCAACATTCTAATGCTCATTTGAGCCGAATTAATTGCCTTGTACGATTTTCAAGACATTGTGTTCCACACTCTTTCAAAAGTTCTTTATGTCAGCAATAACTTTTGTCCAAGCAAAGTTTCGAATAAAATTTCTCTGCTTACTTGGGCTAATCCTCGCTGAATTCGCAAACGCACCTTGATGAGCAAAAAATGTCGAAAACGAGCTTTTTTAGATGTCTTTATTTTAAATTATGACGCGTGCCGTCGATGTGGGACCCTACGTCTTGAATGTAGGCGGTAAATGCTCTGGCTTATCGATTTCGGAGCGGGCCAGTCGTCGAGGCGTTTCACATACCACTACTAAAGCGTTTTTTTATCGCATCAGAAGCAAATTATGCCATGTCACTTGAGCAAAAGCTTTCTCATGACGGACGCCATTGCATTTTAGTTTTTCATATTTGCCCGGACGCTGCCTTTGAGGAAATCGTAAGATGTGCAGTTTTTGATGAACTACAGCAATAAGTGAGGGTACAGGAAACACGAGAGCAGTTTGTTACTTCATTTTTCAATCGAGTATATCCTTAGCACTGTCGGTTTCAGTCATCAGCACATATTTGCAATCTTTTCGTCAACAACACAAAAATCAAATGATTACAAAGAACTGGAACGTTATTTGGGATTACCCGGGAGAAATGCAAAATACTGGATTCCGTAGTTTTCTAATACAGCTTTGTGGAGCATGTCTTGGAGATGTAAGGGAGGGAGGGGAAGGTAGATTCACTTTTGATAGGCGACTTTCCAGAACTAATGCGAGCAGGTTCTATGAGCTTCACAAACCTCCCTTTCCTAGCCGATACGTACACAAGCCTTATTCAAAACCTTTTTGCTTAAATAGAATAGTTAAACTCTGAAGAAAAGTGCTTTTATGGCTTTGAGGATGTGTTTGAAGCATGGAGTGTTTGCCTTGAAAGAAGCTTTACATTAACAAAAAGTAGACATGGCTCGAATCCAGAATTCTAGCTTTCGGAAGAAAGTATGCTATGCGTCTCGTTTGAATGCCACGGTCACTTAGTATCTTTCCCTTGTTAGCTAAGATCAAGTCAGTCAGTTTTTTACTCGTAATTTAAAACATGACCAAGCCAATGTAGAAGGTAATCGCGGATGTATGCCAAAGACATCGACTTATCAACTTTTTTTTCAACAAAGGAATACAATAACACAAAATCGACTTTTTCTTAAGTCTAATCGTTCAACATGTTTTATTTTATTTTATTTTATTTTCTTACAAACGAACAAAAACACAAGTTATACATAACTCCACAAGAATAAATCCTCATGTAGTTCAGGTAAATTCCTCAAAACTAAATGTAAATGCAATGATACAGCCTGGAACCGCTAAATGACTGCAAGTTCTACATTGAATGAATGTGATCATGGAGATGGCACCCATGCCCCCATTATTTGCCAGCAAAACGATCCTGAGATACTCTCTCAACGATATTTCGATACTAAATCCACGGTCCCAAAGCCAGTGTACCGGGAAGAGTTTAATGACTCCAAGTGAATATCAAAGGTAGTAGTATATGAACAGATCATATGGGACAGCGGAGAAAAGATAAACTCTAATGTGGAGATGGTGCAGATGTCGTACGTTTTGCCGGCGAAAATGCTCTTGAAATAATAGTTTAAGCAAAGCAAGGCCAAGTTTTTGAAATAATAATTAACCTTGCCCAAAAGATTCCGGGGAGAGTCCAATAACTCCGAGAAGATGTCATCTTAGTATCAGATTTTGTAAGTCAATCAGCATAAACAAGTCCTTAAGCTGTACTAATTGAAAAAGAAGAAGTGTC